CCCCCCCCCCCGCCCCCCTGTGCGACCCTCTTCAGTTTATGAGTGAAAACAAACACTGAATGAAGAATTCATACCTTGCTTACACTTTAGCTATCTTGGCTGCTTTGGAGGATTTTGGGGGGATTTTCAGTTCCCACAGAATGAAGCAACGAGGTGCATTTCTACTCCGGATAGAATGCTAATCGTATCCCAGTTTCCGTAGCATGAAGCGACTACGTCCCTGTGATGGGATGCTAGTCCATCGCAGGGCTACCCCCGGCATTTAATTCGCCTTAACCCTGCCAATGAGACAATGAGGTAGAAGGCGGAGAAACGTGTTCGAACTGAAGTTCGTCGAAGTTAACAAAAATACTCCGCTACGCGTCGTTTTATGAACTCTCCTCTGGTCCCCTCTCGGTCTTTCGTGTTTGGTATACTTATTCCAATTCTCGATAACTTACATCAGCGTAAATATCGCTTTTAAATCTGATGGAATTGAAATACTACAGAAGAAGGTTTTCTTTTGGTTTTCATTTCAGTAAAAATTCAACACAGACAATAAAAACAGGAAATAAATATTATATGTTATCACCTAAGTGAGCTTTTTGGGGGGATGCCCCTTTCATCTTCTATTAATCCTCTAGCACGTCGAGAAAAATTTCAGGACACGTGGATCTAACATGACAAGATCCTGCAAATGTGTCGTTTATATCTTGTTTATTTATAATTCCCCGTAATAATATGAACCACAAAGCAAATACACTCCCGAGAAAAATAAAACAAAATTGCTTTCTCACGATTAACGTTCAGTAACTTCTTTTCCTAAGAAATACTTGTGTCTAGTTTTTTTCTGTTTGTTTATAGTCTAACATCTGCCTTGATGTCTTTACAACTGCCTGGCGAAGCTCGCGAAGACGCCAGCAATACAAAAATGGATTGATGGACGAATTCATGAATACTGCGGTATTAGCAAATTGCCATTCTGTTCGCCAGTCCTTTATGGAGAGACCGTAAAGAGTCAATAAAACATATATTGGAAGATAGCAAATAATCAAAGCTATGTAGAAGACGAAAGTATTCATTGCGCTTCTTTTCAGTCGCGCTATGTTTAAGTTATTTCCTCTATTAAAACTTAGCGCTGCCTGTTGTTGAGCGTGACTTTGTAACTGATGTCGACGAACAATATGATAAATTCTGATGTAAGAAAATGTGGAAATTATAAGACAAATAATGATAACAGCGCCTGCAGTAAACCTATGTAAACTTTCGCTCCAAAGGTCAAACCCTGAAAGAAGGGAACTAATCAACCATATGATTATTAAAATATATTTAACACGGGATTCAGTCACTAAAGTAGCATATCTCATGTGATAGTGAAGAGCCAGAAATCGATCCACAGTGATGGCTGTTATCGTGAAGAAAGAAACTCCACATAGAGAATACCCCATCGTCATTGAAACACTGTATACGTAACGGTCTTTCGTAAGTTTTTCAGCAATATAAATCGGTTGAGCAATGAGACCAACAAGGAGATCTGAAGCAGCGAGACTGCAGAGCATAATCATGTGCGGCGTTGAGCGAATGGAAGGCGTTCTTATTATGGCGGCCAATACCAAAGCGTTGCCCAGAATGGATATGAGCATCAGTGGAGCGTTAAGAACACAGTTTATGATGATAATAGTTTCAGGAGTAGAGTTGTCTTCATTGTCTGAATGATGATCTGCCGATCCATTGTTGTGTTTGTCGTTATTGTTCATTATCAACTTTTAACTAGCTGGGAACCCTAGCGTTGCCAAACTGTTTGTTTTTACACTTAAGCAAAGCTGAAGAACAGTGATAGCCCAACACCTGATAGCGACACAGCCGGTTAGTAGTTAGTGTTTTGTAACAATTAACATATACATACATATTGGGAAATTTACCTCTCAGGAAATATGAACATGGAAAATTCTGCGTGCGGACTGAACTTAAAAAGGAGAAAATTTTTTGAAAAGGATGACTCGACCAGGGTTTACATGGGTAGGTGAGGAGGCTATTTGCCCAATAAATGGTTAACATTAACGTCAGTGACATTAACATTAGTGATGTTAGCACTAACTATAACATTAGCATTAGCATTAGCAAAAATTTACGTTAACAAATAACGGGAGGATTCGATTCGAATGCGCTGGAAGTGCACAAGACGTCATTGATGTTCTTGTTGTATTGCATTGCTCGTCATTGTATCTTACTGCAGCATTCGCAGAGATCTAATTTAATTCTCATGATTTTCGATTGTTGAACTCACAAGATGTTTTCTTTCATATCCCTGCTCCTTTTCCCCGCCACTTCGCAAGCAACACCCTCGCTCATCGTTTGTCGCCTTCTTTCTTTATGTTAAAAAACTTGAAACGCTGTGAACAGTTTTCTTTTATTCATCACCTTTTTCAAAGCAAAGCCAAACTACGTGTATTAAATTTTGGGTACGTTTAATAGGGGTAAGGATAATAGAAAACTATAATCGCGACGACCAAAAGGTGGCCGCGGCCGATTAATAGAGCTGGTCGGTTAATAAGGGTTTTATTAATGGTATTTCACTAACAAAAATTCCGGGACTTTGATAACCGGCCGCTTAAGGTCATTCCCCAGTATTGCATTGCACATCCCTACGGCGCATAATTTCGCGCGTGATTAGCGCGCGCGCATTAAAAAATGGCGGCTTCTTCTTTACGGCTGGACTTCGCCATAGAGATAGATCGTCATTTTCTCGAAAACGAGTACGGTGACCTATATTTCTTTCTGTTGTTTTGAATTGAGTGATAAATTTCTCTATGTAAAATAAATATGCACCAATTCTCAGTGTAGAACAATAAACAATCGTCAGAAATGTGAATTTAGCACGCAATCGTGACCATAATCATAGTGCTATTGTAAGGATTAAGTGGGTATAAACAAGGTGCTGTTGCTCCTAAACGAACACAGGGACCCCTCATTTTTATTTCAAAATGCCTACTAACATAAACAATCAGGTTCTATTTCAGTGGAATGACCTTAATAGATGTTCCCCTGTAGTTTTCTCAAGTCTAGTCTAGCTGAAGAAAAGAAGTACAGGCCATACCACCACGCAGAAACCAAACTCGTAACAAAAATGATCGCATTTATTTCTAACATATATCCAGCAAAATATACTTATAGTAATAGACGAGTTAGTTGAGCATAACTATGTTGTTTGATATCTTTAGTATACAGTGCATGTGTTTTTACGCACAGTGATATTTCATCTCAAAGCAAAGTCAACATCTCGTTCAATTCCCACAAACTTGAGAGCGTCCGTGGCACTGTACCTGGAATATATATATAAAAAAACGAAAAGGTTACTTGACTTGGAAAAACCGTAAGACTCTCCATTCAACCCGAGTTTATTCGGAGTTTTCTTCTTTTTCAATGACCCACTGTCAGTATTTAGTGAGAATTCAAAAGTAGATTGGAACCCCGTTAATCCAGTCACCAACGGGCCACGAAATTTTGGCCTGCATTCACGGGGTGGCCGTGTTAACGGGGTAGGGTCAAACCTTATGATTGGTCTCAGTTGAGTGACGTCTTAACAGGTATATCACAACTGCACTTCTAAACAACTGCTGCTTTTCAAGCTTTCGGAACTTCAGATGTAATTTTAAAAAAGTTGAAACTTGAATCGGTGTATGAAATATTAACAACGGAAAGATGAACATAACTGATTTTTGTGGCCGTATAAACGGGGTAAAATTACTGAGACAGGATTATACAGGGTGGGATTTGAGTGTGGCCGTTGGCCATATTCACGGGGTGGCCGACGGGGTTTTCTTATAAAAGAATGTATGGGCGTTTCGCCTGGACAAAAAAAAAGTGGCCGTAAATAACGAGGTGACCGTAAGGCGCGGTTCCACTTAAAGTTTCTTTTCGAGAAAATACCCGACAACAGTTTCCAAGGTCACTGATGCAAGGTTCATGTTTCCTTACCTATAATCAAAGAACAGTTCCTCTCCAGCTTCAATATCACGTTTAGCAAAAATACCAATCCTGTGATCACCGTTCACCATCATCACTGAAATAAAAAACGTTAGGTTACGACAGTTTTATATTCACAAACTAAAAGGGGAACTTAAGGGTATCGCCAGGAATAACGTCCGTCTACAAAGTACCCAGATGATAGTTCATTGTGATGATTAAAATACCAAAGACGTCGCTCAGCTTACGTTGACTTGGGTTGGGTGGCCAAACGGTGAAAAACTTGCGTCGACTTGCGTGCAAATTTGATCTCGACCAAAGTAAGTACAAGTCATCGCAAGTCAACGCAAGTGCACACAAGACCTGGCCAAAAGGAGTCGCAAGTAGACCCAAGTAGAGCGTACAGGTCATCGTAATATTCCTGTTATTACCCTCTCCCCCCATTCCTTAAACTCATAAACCTCGCCATACCCCAGTTTATCTGTTCAGCTGTCACAAT